TGCTGTGAGTGTGAGAAACTGTTCAGGCAGAAATCAACCCTAATTTCCCATCAGGCAAGGCATACAGGAGAGAGACCGTCTTTAAGGTGCCACCAGACTCTTTGTTGTTTTTGTAGATACAGACTAACACGGCTACCCCCTGTTACTTGACACCTATGAGTGCTGTGAGTGTGAGAAACTGTTCAGACAGAAATCAACCCTAATTACACATCAGGCAAGTCAATACATACAGGAGAGAGACCCTATCAGTGTTGTGAGTGCGGGAAAGGCTTCAGACCTCATTGTACATCAGAGAATTCACATGGGAGAGAGACCTTATAGATACTGTGAGTGCGGGAAAAGTTTCACTCAGGGCCCACACCTTACAAGACATCAGGGTGTTCACAGGACAGCGACGCAGTGTAGAAATGTTGTGTAGGGCAGAGAAAAGACTTTTTTAAAAAACACATTTGCTAATTCCCACATAGTGACCTTGTGGTTTGTTTGCACCATTTGTGTCCCTCTGTTCTCTCAACTGCCTCGTGTGTTGCCCACTTGTGCCTTTTACAGGTCGCCCTTTTCTGGGGTGAGTCCCGTGCTCCTTTCTCCTGTGAGTCACTGGAGTGTGTGTCCTTCCAGCAAGGAGTTTCCATCAGCCCCAGTTGGGGGAAATAGGGGTGACCACAAGTCGCCTCACTGAGTGAAAATGGACATGGGGTTTGTCTTCTGCTCTAGGATTTCCCTGGGCATCGGCGTGCTGGAGGTAGCTATCCTGATGTAAACACGCCGCTCTGTTTGCAGTGCTGACATCGCCCGGGCACAGGGTTTGGGGTTAGCTGGCATCTTCCCCTTTGGCCTGTCCTAATGGACACCCATTTTCCTGGTCTGGACAATCCCTGAGCATCACATTTATACTGTCACCCCAGTAGCAGAGCGATTGTTAGTCACCAAGTTCCCCCTTTGCTGACAAAATGTCTCCTTCCCAGTTGTGCTCACGCTGGTCCAGGTGGTGCTGGGCAGCAGGTATTTAGTTTTTTACCATTTTCCTTATTTCAAATACATTTCCATGTAACAAGGAGGAGCAGGAGTGGGACAGATGGATCATTTCAGCCTCTGCGAGGCCGGAAGGCAATGGGGCGAGTCGGAGGGATTCCCTCCTTCCCCATCACCGTCACTGTATCTGCTGACTCCAGCAGCGCTGGCCTGTGTCTGAGGCACAGTGGAGTTTATCCACCTGTATTTTGTCCCCCCCCTGCAGAGAGTCTCCGCACTTAGGATCAGTTTGATCCTGTATCCAACTCATTAGAGCTGGAGATGAGTGTCCCAGGCCTGGGTGGGGAATTCCAATGGTGCAGGCGGGTGATCCAGCCGGGAGAGAGGCCTCTTCCCAGCTGTCTCTCCCTGCAGCAGCACCTAGGCTTGGGGGGGGGGGAAGGCGACCCCCTGCCCCCCGTATCAGCTGCAGGGCCGGGCCCACAGGATAGGCGCCTCTCCCTGGCAAGGCCAGGGCTGGGGTCAGGCCTGGGCAAGGGCAGCTCAGGCTCAGCTGGGTTGGTGCAGGTTGGAGGCCGGGATAGATTGGGGCTCAGGGAACGGTGCCCCTCCCCTGGCCATGGCAGCCCCCAGGGTGGGTTGTCTGAGGGCCCATGCGGCACTAAGGAGGCTGCTGGATGGCTGCGCGGCTGTGCAGCTTCCAGGGAACTCGGGCTACTTGTCCTGTACTGTAAGTGTAAGTGCTGTTATTTGGAGGAAGAAAAATCTGTTGTTGTTTTTTCACATATATTAGAAGTTGAAAACTTGGTTTACAAGCCTGGCCGTAATCACGGAGACGCTCCTGACACCCACACACTCCTCCTTGCTTCTGCTTTGTACAGTTAGACTTGAAGCTCCTTCCCCTACGAGCTGCCTCTCACAATGTGTGTGTCTAATACGACACCGAGCGCAATAGAGCCTCAGTCTTGGGTGCAGCCCCTCAGGGCCGTCCTTACCCATACGCAAAGTGTGCAGCTGTGTGGGGCACCAGCCCCTGCTCCGCCCCCACTCCCTTGAGGACTCCAGAAGAGGTTGGGCCTGCCCTCACCCATAAGTAGAGCGACCCGGCCTCCTGCCTGCTCCGCTCCCCGACTCCCAGCCGCATCTGAGCTACATCCTGTCAAACTAAGCTAATATCAAAGTATGTGACCAAACAGCCTTCACCAGGAGAGAAAACCCACAATTCAGGAGGGGCAATAAAACACTTGCACATTCAAAAATTGAAATCTCAGAAAATCTTTTAAGACTCAAAATCGGAAATAAATTTACCCATTTTCTTATGAAGTAGCTAAACCTGCTTCACTATTCATCTCATTATTTGGCTGTATTAGTTACAGAAGTTTTAGCATCACTATACTAAAAGAAAGAGGCGGGGGGTGGGGGGAGAAATAACCCAAACGACACATCTACAAATGATCTGAACTAGCCTAGAAAAAGCCCAGAAGCAATTTTCTCAATAGCTGGAACCAGGGCTATAAGATTGGACAGGTCACTCTGTGCTTTGAGGTTCAGTGGGAATTCCCTGCCCACTCCCACGTCTGACACTTTCTTTTCCAACCCTCAGGAGACTGATTTGGGATCATAGAAGATCAGGGTTGGAAGGGACCTCAGGAGGGCTCTAGTCAAAGCCCCTGCTCAAAGCAGAACCAACCCCAACTAAA